TGAAGCCAAAAGGTTACCTTCTCTTAGACCCTGGAGGCATCTAGCCTTAGATCCCCTTCTCTTGGTCAAGGAGCACACCCTGGGCATAGACAGTGCCCTTCCTGCTCCCATTCATCCCTCTGAGCAAAGCTAAGTTCTCCCTGGCAGGCAAGATGGTGAATGCCTGTAATCCAGGCACTTGAGAAGCTATAGGAGAATTACTACAAGTCTGAGGCCATCCTGGACTACAAGATAGGAAGCAGGTCGGGTTGAGAGATGACTCAGTGGTAAAGAGTGCTTGCTGCTCTCCCACAAGACCTGGGTTGGGTTCCAGCACCCACATCAGGTGGCTCCCAACTGCCTGTAACTCCAGTTCCAGGAGATCTGACATCCTCTTCTGGACTCCTTGGGCACAGACATGGACATGGTACATTCACGAGGGACTGACACATAAACATAAAATAAAAATAAATAAATCGGGGGTTGGAGAAATGGCTCAGCACTTAAGAGCACTGGCTCTTCTTACAGAGGACCTAGGTTCAGTTCCCAACTCCCACATGGCAAGTAACAACCTTCTGTAACTCAAGTTCCAGGGGACCCAATGCCCTCTTCTAGCCTCTGCAAGCACTGCATATATGTGTTACATTACATACATGCAGGTAAAACACTCGTATACATAAAATAAAAATTTAGTAAATAATTATTTTTTTAAAAAGAGAAACAGGCAAGCCAGGGCTGCACAGCAAGACCCTATGAATGAATGAACACCAAGTTCTTCCAGGCTAAGCTCAGTTAGCTCCTCCACCTAAGTGAAGACTCCCCAGCCCAGACGTGCTCTCTGCTACTAGACAACCCTGGCTTTAAATCTCAGTTCTGTCACTTGGCCATTGTGGGACTTTGGCCCAATAACCTCAGTTTCCTCATCTATACCATGGAAATGGTAATCGTGCTTCCCTCGTAAGTGAAAATGAGTTAGAGAAGTACTTAGCAGAGAACCAGCACCTAAGCATTGTATAAGCCTTACCATGATTATGTCCCACTGCCTTAGGCAATCAGGCTCTCCACCTTTGATATCCTCCACTTGGGAGCTGTTTGCAGGCCTGTCTCCCCCTGCCTGTTCCCACCACTTTCTGGATAATAGGCTACATAATATGCAGAACCCTGTGCTAATTGAAAACCCAGAACCATTAAGTCTTTCAAGATGGAGATGGTAGAAAATGAAGCTAAGTAAGCTGCCCCACTAAGCACAGGGCCCTGTCCCTACCTAAGGCTAGCCTTCAGTGCTAGCCTTTACATGAGGGAGTTAAAAATGCCATCTGGCTTTAAGTATAATCTTACAATTTCCAGCTAGAATTTCACTTTCTCCTTCTGATTGTACAGTTAAAAACATTAAAGTTTAGAGATGGGTATGCCCTGCTCATGAACTGCAGAGTTGGGATTTGAACACAGGCTGGCCTAGTATCAAAGCCCTTGCCCTCCTATTCTCCAGAGAGATTGTGAAAACCTGACCCCAAAGGCTGAGCTTCAGTCAACAAGACTGAGATGTGGCTCATCCCACAGAGAGAGTGCTGAGAGACTGTGAGGACTGGCCTCCCTCCTGGGAAGAGCCACATAAACAAGGGTTCCCTGGGTGCCATGGCTGGTGCTACTATGGGAAAGGAGAGGGCAAAAGGTCATTCACAAGCAGGTTTTCTGCCTGTGGGCCAGAGGCCCTAGCACATACTCTCTGGAAGTCTGACTCTGTGTCCCCTGCTTAAAGCCCTTTAGGATCTTTCCATTAGCTTCTGGATAAACCACCACATCTCTAGTATTCCGTTATCTCAGGGTGGCAGGGCCTGGCTGCCTCTGGACCTGCCATCCCTCCTCTATACCACCAGGCTGTTCACACATACCAGGGCCCTAAACACTGTTCCCTCCCTTATCCTTGCTTCTCTGCCTCCTTGACTACTTAGCACCCTTTATTCCTCAGCTAAGAGGTCACCATCTCTGGAAGCCCTTCCCAAAATCAAGAAGGTAGAGGAGCAACTTCCAGTGATACGTCCCTGAATCCTTCCTTTCAACACTTGTCACATGTGTTACCACCTGGTCTAGGACCATAACCCTGCCGGAATGTGGGTTCCACAGAGCAAGGGACCTGAGCTTGCTGTACCAATGGTACCAGGTGGACTGCATCCTCCTGTAAGAGAAGCAGGAGGACCCTCACTCCCTTCTCCCATTCCTCCCCAGCCTCTTTTTCTTGTGCAGCTATCTTGATTGGTATCCTGTTTGTTTTTTGAAACAGGGTCCCATGCAGCCCAAGCTGGCCTCCAACTTGCTATAACTCAGGCTCGTGCACTCCCAAGTATTTGGGAGTATATCACCTCCCAAGTACTGAGATATACAGAGGTATACCACCACACTCAGCTCTTGTTCAGCTGCCTTGAACTCAAGGTGTAAAAAGCCTAAACTTGCAAAGGGAAGAGAACCATTGTACAGGGGGGTCTTTCCACCTGCCAGCCCTGGATTAGATGTCCAGGTACCACATTTGATCCCCTAACTACCTTCTAGGTTTGCAAGGCATTCCTGATTTTAGTTTTGGTGTTTGAAGCAGGTCTTCTGTAGCCCTGACTGCCCTGGAACTTGCTATGTAGACAAGCTTGCCTCAAACTTGCAGCAATCCTGCCTCTGCCTCTCAAATACTAGGATTACAGGCATCACCAAGTCCAACAACCATTCCCATTTTCCAGAGCCAACTGAGGTAGGGGAGTTGAGATCAGTACCTGCAGTGGTAGCAAGCTGGTAGTGGAGGTCATGAACCCTGCTCTGTCTGATGCTGAAGTACCTAGTGTTCTCTTTGCCACAGACCCCACACTCAGTGACTCACCACTCAAGGCCAATCTACTTTACTCCAGACCACAACAAAGCTTCTATGTTGGGTCACAGTCGGTATACCCATCGGGGAGACAGCTCCACTGTGGGGAGAAGTCAGTGGCCAAGTCATTTCTCCCCAGGATGGGAAAAATATCTCCAGGTCAGCGAAACATGAATGGGAGACACCCCCACTACAAGCAAAATGCTGCTAGAAGAGATGCACTCTGCACCCCAAGTCAGCAGAATGCTAGCTGGAAGAGCCACTGCCACTGTCAGCAAAAGGCCAGTGTGAGAGGCACTTCCCTACACCCCCTGGGCCTGGACCCATGACAAGGATGGGATGCTCAGAAGAGCCCTCCGAGGTGGGGCTCCCAGGGTCAGAAAGCCCTGGGGTCGCTGTTGCCTGGCGGGGAGAAGGCTGTAACTGAGGAGTGGGGCAGACTCAGGTGAGAGTTCTCACATGGCGCTAATGAAATCAACCACCAGCCTGCCTCCCCTCTCCCCTGGGACCCTCCAGGCTCCAGCTGATGCAATGCCCTGGCCTGATAATTGTTTTCTTCTCTCCTTAAAGGGCCAGCTACTACTGCAGCTGCAGACAGACATCACCCAGACCCCTGACAGACCCGAGTTCAGCACCTGTGCAGAGAGTAAAATTTAATCAATGCCCTGAGGCTAGGAGTGGTGGAGAGAGAGAAAGAACAGTTAAGACAGACAGTGACAAAGACCACATGCCTTGAGGGAAGGGATTGTGGTCCCTGGTGAGTCCTCAGCTCCTGGCTCCAGCATGCCTGCCCCAGCAAGAACTTGGGACAGGGTTTCTCAGAGTTCAACAGTTACACATTGAGCTCTCCTGAGGGCCAGACACAAGGCTAAGCTACTCAAATCCACCATTGTATTTACCACTCCTAGGAAGTGGGTTTGTTTTACTGAAAAGCTCAGAGAGGGCAAATGATTTCTTTAATATTACATAGCCAGAAAGAGGCAGAGCTAGGTTTCAAGTCAAGTTTGATCAACTCTGGGCTTCATACCTCGCAAATGGTAGATGATTACAGAACCCAGAAGTCCCTGGTGCTTGGTTTAAGCACAAGTTGGCATGGTCCCCTCCCCAGCAGGCCCTTGTCCAGAGAATGTCCCATTAGGCTACCCTACCCACACTCCCCTGGGGACAATTGGCAACTGCGTGATTATGGGCTAATTGGTGGCTGGCACCAACTATGGAGATGGTTTGTTAACCTCTTGGTGATCAGGCCCCACACAGAAAGACCCTCTTTCCACCACTGAGGTCCCAAACCCATGGACCTCTGATTTGAGAAGTCATCAGGAACAGAGAACATGAAAGGAAAAGCAGCAGCCTTCCTCCTCGCTCCAGGACAACACCCTTAGGGCTGACATTTCCCCCAGGCTCAAACCCTGAAGGCCCCCTGATGGCACTGCCAACTAGGGCCCCTTGTTCTCTGGCCTTAGGTAGAGCATTTCCTGCCTCTCAGCCCAGGACTACAAGAGCTTTGGACTCTAGGAAGGGACCCACTCCTCAGGGCTAGGTTGTCCAGAGGTGATGGGGGCCCGGGTTCCAGACAGGAGGCCAGCTAGGGACCATATCCTTCCAAATGAACAAGAAGATGCCAGAGTGGCCCATGAAGGGTCTTGCCAAGCTTCCTTGAAACCCTGGGTCCCCCACTGTGCTACTGATCAGTCTTTCCCGGTTTCCCAGAAGCCCCCTCTTCCCATCCTAAGGCTGATGAAGTGAGCACCACCCCTTTCCTTTCCTGAGGAGGGGGATGTTTCTCTGGGTACAATGGTGTCACGTTGAGAGGAAAAAGTGGTCGCTTCTCAACCAGGGTACAGGCAGTGGGGGGAAAGGCAAACTGCCTTTCCAGCGGGATTTTAAGCACTTTCCAAAAAATGCCATGCGAGGCAATGCCGTTGAAGACCAGGGCCCCAGGTGAGCACAGAACGTCAGCAAAGAACTCCTGACTGGGGTTCTACCCCATTTTCCAGGCTTCTCCAGACTCAGCCCCCGCCCCACAGTCATCACGGGCTGTGCCCCCGCCCCCCAGACCTGGCACACATCCCTACGTTGCGCTGGGCCGGAACCCCCCTTCCTGCGTGATCCCCAAACCGCAGCCCCCTCCCCACGCCCACTCGCAGGCGCGCAAGGCCTACTGACTTACCCCGAGGTGGAGTCGGGGGTCCACGCCGGGAGCCGGGCTCAGCAGCCAGAAGCAGCTCCGCAAGGCGGGGCAGGTACTGCCCCGGGACCCCGCCCCGCGGACCCGGCGGTAGGCGCGGCCCGGCGACTCCGAAGGGGTAGGGACGCGGGGCGGGGAGGGGCGGCGACAGAGACTCACGGGGGCATCGCCCGCTTGAGCTGCAGGCTCCGCAGCCGCCACCGTTCTCAGTCGCCGCCGGGTGCAAAGCCCGAGCCCCGGCTGGCGGGAGGCAAGGAGGGAGGCGGGGCCTACAGGGGGAGGGTCCTCTGTGCGGGGCGGGGCTGTGATAGGGGGCGGAGCCAGTGGTGGGCGGGGTCTGGGAATTGGGAGAGTCTGGGTTTGCCTGGCTGCGGGCGACCCACTCCCCGGGAGGCCTGGAAGGGGTGAGTTTCTAAGAGGCAGGGTCTGGGGATCTCAAGCCTTTCCCTGTCCCTAGGATGATCCTGCCCCCTGCCGGTCCACCCCTCTCCACCATCCCCTGGGCCATCTGTTCCTTCCCATCCTTCCTTGTCTTTGGGGCACCTCCCAGGTGCCCCTGATCTTCTGGACCAGATCCAGGAACGTCAGATGGTGAGAGAAGTCGAAGTAACTTACAAACATCGAGTCCATTTTACATACAAAAAGAAAAAAAAAAAAGGAAGCTCAGAAAGGAGAAAGAACTTGCCCAAATGCCTACTTGAAGAATTTCTGGGACTAGAGAGATGGCTCAGCATTTAAGAGTGTTTGCTGCTCTCACTGAGTTCAGTTCCCAGCACTCTATCAATGGCTCACAGCCACCTGTAACACCAGCTCCAGGAGATCCGATGCCCTCTTCTGGCATCCATGGGCACACACATGCACATGCACACACGCACACGCGCACACACACACACACATACACATAAATAAAAGTAAAAATAAATCTTTTAAAAAATTAGGACTTTCTGGGGCTGGAGAGATGGCTCACAGGTTAAGAACACTGGCTGTTCTTGCAGAAGACCCGGGTTCTAATCCCAGCACCCACATGGCAGCTAACAATTGTCTGTAACTCCAGTTCCAAGGGATCAGACAGCCTCTTCTGTCCTCCACGGACATTGCACGACACAGGTGCACTTACCTACATGCAGGCAATACACACATACACATAAAAATAATAAATATTTTTTAATTAGAACTTTCCAATGTCCTTTTGGACTTGAGGTAAGGAAAAAGAATATCCTGCCCTGTGACCTAAGTTAGCTCTTTCTCCTTCCCCCTCTCCTATGGCAGTTTTCAATTTGATTTTGACTTCTGTGGACATTTACAATGTCTGGAGGTATTTTTAGTTTCTATAATCTGAGAGATTGCTTACTGGCTTCTGGTGAGAAGAGACCCTGACACCAAAGGATTATGAGATCCAAAGTGTCAGTAGGACTGCAGTTGAGGACCCTGTCTCAGGGCCTGAGTGAACTTCAAGTGAATGGGCTGAAATGGGACGCAGAAGTTTAGGACTTGACACCTACTCTAGGGTCCCAACTACTCTGCCTGCTCCCAACTTGCTGTGTTTAAGCTCGCTTAGTACTGGTCAGTTCCACTCTCAGGATCAAAGTTTCTTAATTTCATTCACTCATAAGTAGATAGCTTTACTAATATTTTCTCAAGAGGGGTAAGGCTGTTTGCTGAAGACACAAAATGTGAATGAGGATTGGTACGGTGGGAAGAACCAGGGAAATGACTGGGTTATTAAAGGCCTCCCTCCTCCTATTTCATCCCTTCTCAACAGGGTAAACTGAGGCCCAGCAAGGTGGAGAACCCAAAACTAGATCCCATAGGTGGTCAGCTGTGATTTTGGGATTCGATTGTATCTGATTATTATTGAAAATGCTGGTATTAGTTGGGCATAGCGATGCACAACCTTTAATCCCAGCACTTGGGAGGCAGAGGTAGGCAGATCTCTGTGAGTTCAAGGACAGTCTGGTCTACATAGTGAATTCCAGGCTGGCTGGGGCTACAGGAAGACCCTGTCTCAAAAAGACATACACACACAAAAAAAAAAAGAAAGAAAAGAAAACACTGGTAATGCTGGTATCATCTAATCTACCCCAGGCCTAGGTCTAGAACTAGGGTCTAGAACATGTGTTCTGGAGCCGGCAGGGGAGTTAGATTAAAGGAAACAAGGTGAGGGCCAGGGAAGTATCTGAAGCAATGGTGGAGATGAGGGGTAGGGAAAGCAGAACTGTGAGGATTGGGAGAGTTTCAGGGAGTCAGGCTTCCTCTGCCCTCCATTTACTCCCTTCACAGAGAACTGTAAGTCAGGTGTTCCCTTTGGCATCACGGTCTCTACATGTTGAAATTTTTTGACTTTCTTTCTGAAGAAATGTACAAATATATAGTTCATGTATAATTTCAGGACCTCCAAAGTTTCATATTGGTTTCCAGAATATTAAAGTGGGTTGATTCTTAAGCCCATATAGGAGAATAAATATGCAGGATTTAAAAATTAATATTGAAAGCTGGGTGTGGTGGCACACGCCTTTAATCCCAGCATTTGGGAGGTAGAGGCAGGTGGATCTCTGTGAGTTCAAGGCCAGCCTGGTCTACATAGTGAGTTCCAGGCCAACTGGGGCTACAGGGAGACCCTGTCTCAAAAAGACCAAAAAAAAATTAATATTGAATTATATTGAAGCATGTTATAAGGTACATGCTGCTAACACAGTATGGTCATGAACCAGGACTAGACAGATCTGTGAAACAAAATGGAGTGCAGAAATGGACCACTGATGACTATAGTTCACAGAGAAAATAATATTTTATGGATCCTTAGAAGAGAGAAGCTTGAAGTCTCCGAGCACAGAGCAATGAAAAGGAGATGGAAATGTTAATTAGCATGATTTGGTCAGTACATATTGTACACATGTGCTGAACTAGCACACTGTCCTATATAAATAAATACAATTAGTGTGTGTTAACAAAATGTGTTTAATGTTTAATGAAGAGGGAAATGTTAACTATCCTAATTTGATCATTACACACTGTTTACATGCATTGAATCATAACACTCTACCCCATAAATTTGTATAATAAATAAATGAAAGAAATAGACCCAGAAATGCAGTGAAAAATAATACTTCAGATAAGTAGGGGAAAGAGCTGGGTATTGTGGCTCACACCTGTAATACCAGCACTTGGCTGTATTTACCAGCACTTGGATGGATCAGGACTTGGAGGGCAGCCTGAGCTATCAAGATTTCTCTCAAAATAACAAAGGGGAGCCAGATGTGGTGGCACACGCCTTTGATTCCAGCACTCAGGAGGCAGAGGCAGGTGGATCTCTGTGAGTTCAAGGTCAGCCTGGTCAACATAATGAGTTCCAGGCAGGCTGGCGCTAAAAAGAGACCCTGTCAAAAAACTAAAACAAAGACCAAAACAAACAAACAAACAAACAAAAAGACAAACCAGAAAAAGGGCAGGGGTTGGGGATAGAGGAAAGAGAGGCCTTTCAATAAGTGAGTGGAATCACTGGGAAGTCATTTGGGAAAACAGAAGAAAGCTATGGCTTTACCTACATCAAAATAAAGTCCAAGTGAAGCACATATTTAAATAACAGTATATAATAATACCTGAGAGAATATTTTTGATAACCTGGAGTTTCTAAGCATGATGAAGCGCAGAAACCATAATGGAAAACAGTGAGAAGTTTGAGCTTTCTTCCATACCGAAGAAATGACCATAATAGCAAGTTTGAAAAACAAATCAGAAGCTGGAGAGAATGTTTCCCTCCACTCTGTCCATCTGGCTGCCAGCTCTTTTCTCAAGCCTCGAAAGGAATACACAGGAGGGCCTGCCGAGGCTGTAAGAGTCCAGACACATCGCAGAGGCTCTTCCTATAGTGCCCGGCCGGCGCCCACCTGTTCTAGGACCGGGAAGCCCCGGAAAACCCAGCCCTGCCATCTGGGTCCTCTGCAGGTGACAACTAAGCTGAGCCAGAGTCTGACCGCAGGGTGCTCACCACTTCCCTCCCGTGGCCATTCTGGGAACTGCAGATTTCAGTTCCCGCTCCTTCCTGATAATTTTTTTTCTTAGAATAAATAATAGCTTTATATTTCTTGAGATAGCTAACCATGTCTTAAGCATTGAGATAAACGCTCACTATAGAGTATTTAGTTTGTCCCTCAAAACATCTCTCCAAGGTAGGTCTGTGTTATCTTCATTTGACAAAATGAGAAATTGAGACAAGAGGAGCAACGACTTACCCAACTTCTAAGTGGTGGCAACAGGACTTAATGTACCACTCCTAGCCACGAAATTAATGTAACAGAGCCAAGCTACTGAAGAAATTCAACAAAACATAGCTGAGAGAGAGAGAGAGAGAGAGAGAGAGAGAGAGAGAGAGAGAATCGAGCCCAGGCTGGTTTTGAACCCTTAATCCACTAGCCTCAGTATACCAAATCCCAAGTACTGGAATTAAAGATACCTGCCATCACAAACAAACCACAAAACAAACATATTTGAAGTTTCCCTTGCTTTGGGCCTTGTACCAAGGAATTAAGAACTGAAGAAAAACAGGCTGGGCATTGTGGTGCATGTCCATCATTCCACACTAGGGAGGCAGAGGCAGGATGATCAGGAGGCAGGCAGAGAACTGTTCCCATTGCTGTGAATCCTGGAAAACCCAGGCAGGAGTAGCAGAGGACCAAGTGATCCTAGCTGATTCAAACTTGAAAGACAGTCTGGAGTTTGAAGTAAAGAGAAAGAAGAGTGCACTTGGAGAGGGACACGGTTCTCCAAAGCTTGAATTTTGGGAGAGGTTGGCAACCAGTCCAGATAAAATACACCAAGGCCAACCCAAGGGGATTGGGCCTAACGATTTTTGGAAGTGCTCCCATGTTTCTATTAACCTGTTCTTGCCAGCTCAATCTGCCTCTTTACTTCCAGGTGACTCCCATCCTGGTTGCTATGGATTTATTTATTTATGCATGTGTGCATGTCATGACACATATGTGGAGATCAGAAAACAACTTTATGGAGACAGTTCTCGCCTTCATCTTTACATGGACTCCAGAGATCAAACTCATGTCCCCTAGGCTTGTGAGGAAGCATCTTTACCTGCTGAGCCATCTCAAGGTCCCCATGGTTTAAGTGAACTCTAGACATTGATGTGATGATGACTTGGTCCCCAGCACAGCACTAGTTAATAGCTGTGCCTCCTAGGAGGTCTTTAGACCCCTGGAGGGCATGATCTCCAAG